AAAAGCCATCCCGTTCCCTATTGCCGAGCTGCTAGTCCAAAACGGCGCCGAGATTCCGCCACAACCCCCATCCATCCCTCTCTCCCCCGCAGCCAAGCTCTACCTCAGCCAACGGACGGCCCGCACATCTGCATTCAGCGTGCCTCCACCGCCGCTCGGTGGAAAGTCCTCTGCAAACGATACTCTGGGCTCACTCCCGACTATCCGCAGCAAGGAATCTTCCTCTTCGTCAAACACTCCAACTCTCGCAGAGAGCAGAGACAAAGACAGAGAGAAGCTCCAGAAAAGAGGAAGTGCTGGCGCCCGCTTTGCGGGGAAAGTGGCTTCACTTGGAATTGATCGATAAAGGGCCTCACCCCCGCGCTTCATCTTGTCTATATCCCCCCTCCGTCTAGCACATCAGCCGCGCCGCCCATAATCGTAATTATATCAGTGTTTAATGAGATTCCGTATGAAAAATTCCCCTCTGATGACCTTTTGATGTTCCTTTCTCTTCGTTTTCTGTTTCTGGTCAGAATCTTTATTGTTTTGCTCTTTGGTTCTGGTTACTACTTTGTATGAAGGCCAGGCGACAATTTCTCTTTTTTTCACTTCGTGTCAATTCTTGATACTGGCATATTGGTCCTGCTTTTGGATGGTTGCTCACTACTCTTATGGTTTATTGTCTTCTAGGACGAATTCAAATATGGGTCGGGTCTGTTGCCTCTGCCCTGCGTTCTGACCTTTCTGGTTTATATGTAGTTGTGCTCTGGTGGTGTATTTCCGTTCTGGGCGATTTGTACTTATCGAGCTTTGGGGACCTTGGATGAAGTAGGGCTACGATCGCAATTATCACTCGGGCCCATGGAAGAACGAAGTTCTCAAACAGCGATCTACATATATTGCAAGTTACATCCAGCATATATGGAACGGAGCTACCTAGAATAACCCGTTTTCTTTTCGCCTCGCCTCGTCATCCACTTCCCTATATCAAAAATATCTACCTAAGTATAAACCACAAACCACCGATTCTTTACAACATACTGGATATTGTACCTACGGAAACGAGGTTGCCTAACAGTGGCAATCCCAACATGGCCGAGTCTCCCCACTGACTCCAGCAGCTGATGCTAATCCCAACGATCATAGAACTAGAACTGCAAAGCCGTGGGGCAGTGGCGTCTAGCGGTGGCCGAGGATGGTACGACCTGCAATCTTCTAGATGAAAGTAGAAACACCTACGGTACATCATACAACATGAATATGGAGATATGGAGACATGGGGGCTGTGAAGGGGTCCGTCCATTGTACGCAATGCAACAATGGAAATTATCCGAGTTCGAATTTGTTCTGAGTCACAATTGCAACATGGAGAATGGATATGTCCTGCTCGGGTCCCTGCCGATCCCTGCAGTGATTGGGGAGTCATGCTGTGTATTGTAGTAGAAACCCACAGCCACCAACCCATTGATAGATGAACGCGCTATATTATGGCTATAGAATGGTTATCTTTCGGACAAGTCCGACTTGGTATTGGGTAGACGTACAGTGATTGGGTTTTCCCGCTGTTTAACCCGATGACATTCCTAGGATAAAGGGGGCCCATTCTCCCGAGTCATAGAACGGTATAGAAAGGAGTGGACATGTAGGGACACAGTGAAGTGAAGAGGGGAGGATCCATGACGTCAAGGGGGGACCCACAGTGACGCCTAAGGTGTCCATGTGACGTCTTCCCGCAGGAGACGAATGTCCGAACACCCGTGGACCTTCGAGACAACCACTCACGTTGGACGAATCGCCGATTCTCAATCAGACTTGGCTTGTTTTCTCATATTCAACCCATTGTGTATAAAACATAGTCCATGGAAGGCGCTAGAATATCCTTTCGGAAAATGCACTTACATCAAAGGTGCGCCAGTGGCCCTCTGTCGTCAAATGTATATCACTATTCGAATTGAATTGGACTATATTTGGATATTGTAGATCTTAGATAGGATGTCTGTTCCTGTCGTTCTCGGGATATCTCCGGCTTGGAATCCAATTGAAGTAACTATACTCCAACATAGTGGGTCAGAGTGGCAAGGGATATGAGCTATAGGGCAATGTCGGGAATGCATTCAGTGTTGGATATCCGATACAACATATACAATGTACGATAACTAGTTAACTACCTAGTTAGACGCTGTGCTGTATGAATAGACAGAGGACTAGTCAGCCGATTCGGAGAAATAGTCCGGGGGTGGACATCCAATGAAGGAGAGTATCACATACTATACCGTTAATGTATACAAATATGCAGCACATGTGCTACCCCCCAAAAGAAAGAAATGGAGGTACAGCAAAGGATGAACCCATATTTTATTTCCTATTTCTCTTTTCCTAACAGCTGTATATTCGACGTACATAGTACATAGTACAACATAGAAATATGATATTCTCAGGTTAGTCGGACAAGGTACCTTACACTCGACACCGAAGGCAAGTATCCATTGAAATTCAAACTTAAATACCTAAATGACTCAAGAGTCGCTGTGGCTGTTTCTGATGTCTCTGATTGGTTTGATAGAAAGCCACAGTGTTGCAGTGGATAGTGGATATATGCTTTCGCAATATATTGTAGAACTAGGAACACATGTGATGCCTGGGAAATAAAATTGGACCCAAGGGGAATTCTTCTATAATATTCTTTTTTTTTATCTCCTTTTTTTCCCGAGTGACTTCCTTTTTCAGAAGATACAAAAGATGTCCATCTCTTGCTCCGATGCCAGCTGTAGTCCCCAGTGCCCATCTCTGATTGGCTGGTCTCAGATGCCGATGGATAAACCGAGTGGATCCGACTTCACCTCATTTTGTCTCCTTCTCCTGTCTTTTTCTCTCCTGTCGTTTCGTTTCCAATTGGCTCATCTGGAGGGAAGAAACTTCCCTTGTCCTATTTGATGTGAAGATTTATGTCTTAGCTTTTTTTTCTTGTCAGGATTACCAAGCTCCATCTGATCCCTATTCATCAGCGGTACATACGGTATCCACGGCATATACAGAGTCAATACTACATCGTACAAAGTCCACCATTATCGAGACTTTTCTCAGTTCCTGCCATGACCTGGCATCATCCAATTGTGCTTTGTCACACTATACAGTAGCACACGATGCCCCTTTTACCTCTGAAATAGGCTTGAACTCGGAATACTACAATATCTATTGTACCCAGTACTTCCAGATATTCACGTCTCAAAGAAGTGGAAAGTCCCATTGGAACCACCACCCAGACATAATTGGTGGGATCATGATCGAGCCTAGTGGGAGTGTATCCAGAATAGCTCCAGGTCCAACGGTCTCTGCCTTCCCCTTGTGGTTATGGGTCGGGTTTAATGTCTCATTCTGCCCTTACGCCTGACGTATATTATACATACTGTACCGTTGTCCAGGTTGCACGGAGCTCATCCCACACATTGCACGTTCACACACCCTTAGGCTCTTTGTCTTCTCCATCTCCCCGACAGTGGCAAATCTGTTATCGAACTCGACTAGTGGCCCAGGCTCGAAGAGGCTCCTCGGATGTGCAAGTCACTCCAATTTTTCCAACAGGTCCCCAACATATTAATATTCCCCCAATCGCGACAATTCTGGCCCCGCCCAGGTACCCATCACAAAACACGGGAAGAAAAGAAGGAATAAAATAAAATCAAATCGGGATGCTCGATCTGCTCAGTGATACGCATCTGTACAGATGACATGATACTCAGACCATAAATTATTTTCATCTTGGTCATTCATAGCCATAGCCAGTTTCCATCTCTTTTTTTTTTTTTTTTTTTTTTTTTTGCATCTGAGACTATAAAAAACCCCTGGCTGTATACTGTACGGAGTATACAGTATACAGTATACAGTCCCGAACTCGTCCGCCTTTCTTTTTTCCCTTTTTTTTTTTTTTTTTTTTTTTTTCTTATTTTCTATATCTCTCTATACAATATGTACGTTACTTCCCAGGTTCAAAGCCATTGACATAATCAGCCACAGTCTGTCACCTGCCAAGAAAGTTGATTGGCTTCAACTCTCTCCCCCAAGACCCCCAAGACCCCCAAGACCCCCAAGACCCCCCCAGGATCCTCACAGATCTGCCACTGTTCATAGTACTGCCACTTTATTTACCTCCCTTTTTGGGCACCCTTCTTTTTTTCTGCCCTATATCTCTCGGTCAGCCTCCTTTTCTTGATGTGTTTTCCATGCAAATCCATATCCTACACTCTTTTACCCTCTTTTCACCCCTCGGCTCTTTTGCTCTTCAATGCCAATTTGCCAAAATACCTACCCCTCTTGGTCCTGTCTATTCCTGTCTAGACCATTGTCGAAGTCACATAACACTTGAAACAAAGTACCAAGGTATGCCAACTTTCTGGGGTGTCTGATTTCATATTCCCTCATATCTGGTATCTTCTCTCCCCTGCCATATTCTAGTGGTGGACTTTTCCCCTGCTCTGGGCATATCTTGGCTTTGATCCGGTTATAGTCTTACACTTCTCCCCCTATCTCTTGTGTCTAACCCACTTGTTTCTTTACGATCCCTTGTCTTTTGTCCTACTTTGTTTTGTGAGCTTGGGCTTATGGTCTAGAAGGAGGGGGGGGGGGGATGTTAGTGCGTGTTCGTCGTTTTTTCTCTTTTTTTCTCCCCTTTCAATTTCCTCTTAACCATCACACACTCACATTCTATTGAGATTTTCTTATCCCAAATCCAGAGAACTGACTTGCATAGCTTGGGTTTTTTTTCTGATCTCTATATCCTCTCTTCTGCACTATTCTGTTCTGTTCTATTCTATTCTATTCTTTCCTTTTCTATCGGACTCTTGGGGAAGTCTTACTTGCATCTGCGAGATTTCTGGGATTTCTTATAGAAACCACAGTGGCCCTTGGCCCACTGGACTTATAGGTAAGATCTCGAGTAACATGTGTCCATTCTGTACAGACACTAAAATCTATAAAGTAGTTTCAAAAGGATTGCCATTGAAGGATTCATCAACGACCCCATGGGCAATGTTCCTCCAGACAAGACAGCCGGCGGGACAGACAATGGGACAGCCCCGATATCAGAACAGGGTTAGTCCTTGCTCTTTTCAAAATATGTGTCCAAGCGTTGTCTATTGACTAAAACTCTTCCCAGCTGCATCTCCTACTTCAGCGCGACCTCCCAATGTCAGACACCACTCCAGCTTTGCAGAAGCTCGATATGGAACCGCCCATTCTCCCTTAAATATGGGCAACATGGGATACTTCCTTCCAGGCCATCATTCACAAGGCTATGATCATTCAATACATCAGTACCAGACAGCCCAAGGGCAAGGCATGATGTATCCCATGCCAATGGCTCCGTATGGACACAACACCGGAGGCATGGCATACGGCATGCCTTACCCAGCTTATCCGCCGTATGCGATCTCTCAACTTCCAGGCCCCGTTCAACATGGAATTCATTACCAGCCACATGGAACCCAAATGCAAAACCTCAGTCCCGGACAAATATCCCCATATGGCTCGGGGTATTACCCTCATTCGCCATACCCTGCTCCTTATAGACATGGGATCCCTCCTACCGGCCAAATGCCCCAGGCTGTATCTCCGGTCCGCACTAACACGAGCTCACCATCAAAAACGGGCTCTTTACGCAAAGAAGCAGATAAACGAGTGGCCGATCTGGAATATGATGTCTCAAAAACCATTGTGGATGGATCCAATCCCATGAAATTAGCGCCTCAACCCCAACCTCTGCTCTCCGGTAAGCTCTTTTTTTTTTTTTTTTTTTTTCGGACTTCGCCCTTTGGACCTATTTCTAACTTGCAATTCATCTAAAGACAGTTCCCCATCGCAACCAGCCCCGACCGCTCCGAGTACTCCACGAGGACCACCCCGAAAACCAAAGCAATCCGGCCACGCGCTCTGGGTTGGAAATCTCCCCCCAGGAGCCAATGTCGTGGATCTTAAAGATCATTTCTCACAAGAGGCAACAAACGACATCGAAAGTGTGTTCCTGATCTCCAAAAGTAATTGTGCGTTCGTGAACTATAAATCGGCTGCCGCTTGCGTCGCGGCGTTGGCGAGATTCCACGACTCCCGCTTCCAGGGCGTGCGTGTTGTCTGTCGATTGCGAAAGGGGTTCACAGCCCCAGGGTCTGGATCTGTAGGGTTGGCAATTCCTGCGGTGAACCATGCTCTCCGACCACAATTGGAGGATATTGCTACATCTACGGCTACGGCTACCGACCCGGACGAGGACCATTCAATTGCACCGGAGCTCAGCTCGGCCGCACCTGCTACAGGGAACTATCCGCCCCCGGCTCGGCTGGTAGATCGGTACTTTATTGTTAAAAGCTTGACGGTGGAGGATCTCGAGCTGAGCAAGCAAAGTGGCATTTGGGCCACGCAGTCACACAATGAGGCGGCGATGAATCAGGCTTTCGAGGTGAGTATAGACCTATATACAGTACTGCAATTACGGAAACTGACCTTGGCTCAGACTACCGCTTATGTCTATCTAATCTTCTCTGCCAACAAATCTGGCGAGTATTTTGGATACGCGCGTATGATGTCGCCGATCAGCGACGACGAGGAGCTGGCCTTGGAGATGCCATCCCGGCCCGATCCGCCGCCCGGTGGACCCGACGAGCTCGACGTGACCCTGACAGCAGCGAGCTCGACAGCGCCGCAAGGCCGAATCATCGATGATTCAGTGCGGGGTACTATCTTTTGGGAAGTTGAATCGTCGGAAGATGAGAACGACACCGCCAGCGTGAAGAGCGTCGAGCCCGAGGATCCGGAAGAAGGTCAAACCTTTGGTAAACCGTTCCGTATTCAATGGATTTCGACGGAGCGAGTGCCCTTTCAGCGCACTCGTGGCCTCCGTAACCCCTGGAATGCGAATCGAGAAATCAAAATCGCTCGAGACGGCACCGAAATCGAGCCAACAATCGGCCGTAAGCTAATTCAATTGTTTCATTTGCCTTGATTGTCCTGATTTTCCGGCTTGACTTGGGGGATGATCTGCTCTGTCTTTTGTCTGTAGTTAGCCTATAAGGACATCGACAGAGAAAGGATTCCTTCTGGAATGGCAAAGAAATCGGAAATCTAGCACATACAACACTTTTTATGGGAAACGAGCAATACACGATGTACGTCCATATCTATTTACCTTTTTTTTTTTTTTTTTTTTTTTCGAGCTACGAACACGAATGCTCCCCCCTCTTTTTCTGCAAGGATTAGCGTTTTGTCTGCATGATACCCCCCCTTCTTCTGTAAACCTGGTTGGCTATTTACTGTGTGTTATATGGGTATGTTATATAGGTGATGGGTAGAATGAAGTCACCATGATATATATATAGTTTTACTTATAGCCTTATATAACCTCACAATGTACCCATCTTGAATTTTAGATGTTAGACACCAAGAGTAAAGTATACAACCAATTATAACCACCTAAAAGTGAATAGACCAAAGTACATCGACTAAATCGAAGAGGTAACCCAAAACGGATGGCTTAGTCAGCACCATCGACATCACCACTCTCCACTTAGCGCCACTTTCCCCGGAAAATCGGATGCTTAGCTCTCTTCTGCCTTTCGGTGAACCTCGTGTATTTCCCCCTTCTCCTCATTCTTCCAACTTCCAACTTCCAACTTCCAACTTCTAACTTCTTCTCTAGCTTATCCTTTCTTTTATCACATTCTATCTGAGATCTGAATTCTGGAATTTTTCAATCTTTCCTCAAATCAAGAACCCCACCATCATTCCACCCCCCCTTCCCTTCCAAGTGCTGAGATCATTCTCGTCACTTTGATCTTATTCTATTCTCCAATCTTATATTCTATGAGAAGGGCGGCTAGTCCGTCCGCATTTTTCTGCTCTCAGTTCAGACCCTTCTTCATCTGACAATGTCCAACGATCCCACCTCCCCCATCTCGGTCCCACATGCGGAGAACCGTCGACGTCGTGGTTCCATTGCCGACATCTTCTCCAAGCCGAGCAACCCATCCAACACCCAGGCTGCAAACCAACAGTCCAACCAGCGTCGGCTGTCAATCACCACGCTCGGCCTCTCTGGTTCCCCCACTCAGGCATCCGCCTTTGGTGGCAACCGCAACTTCCGTCGAGGTAGCCTATCCAGCTCAATGGGCTCCAACGTCCCGGCCGAAGACGCCCTCGAGGACGACCAAGTAACAGGAACCTCTCCTAACTCGCAGTTCGGGAGACGCGTCTCCTTTGGTGCACAGGCCCTGCGTGATGCTCGTGCAGGAAGCATAGGCAATGGTAGAAATTACCCCCCTCCATCTGCCGTAGGCGCGCGCCGTTCCCCTCCGGCCGGTTCGGCCATTGTTACTACCCGTTATTCCGCAAGTACTTCAACCTCTCCTCAGGATGAGAGATCTAACGCATCACGCCGACCCTTAGGCGAAGGCTTCAACTGGTCAGAGGCCCTCCGCTCTCGTGCCGAGCGTGCTCCTTCCCTCGGCGGCCCTGTCTCCCCGCAGGCAGCCCAGCGTTCCACCGGTCACCACCAGCGTGCCGCTTCCATCGCATCGATGGAGCAACCTAGCCGGGAAATGCCCCGTCAGCCTAAGCAGAATAAGCCGGATTTCTTCCAGGAGAAGATCTTGAGGGGTGACTTTATGGATTAGAGAACTTGTCACCTTGTCAAGGGAAGTATATCCTTATCTGTGCTACTTTGGCTCCCTAGCATCTTCTTCTTTTTTTTTCACTTTTACTTTTACTTGTTTTGCATTCGAGGCCAAAAGTCTCATCAGACTTGTTGTATCCATTCTGGGTTCCATCCTCTTGATGTGTCTTCTCAACTCTTTCCTCCTTTTGAAAATACGTGGAATATGTATCAAAATTATCCATGGAGGATCGTTACCTTGGGTTTTTTTTTTTTTTTTTTTTTTTTTTTTTCAGCCCTGGGATCGGCGTTTTCATATGTTTGAGCCTTTTTCTTACCCATCCCATCCTGGTGATGCGGGTGCTTTTTATTCTTATATGACTACCAAATTGACACCCACTGGTCGCTGGTTATTGGACTATGAATTGTATTTTGGAGTACTCTATATCGCTGTTCTTTTCAGTATTTACACTGAACTCCCCCCGTATGTTCATTACTCCCCAAAATCGCACAAGCTTCCTCTCGGTCCATATATAGCCCACCACTTCAACTCTTCGTGTCACCAAATATCACCCCAAGGTCAATCCTCAAGAGAAATGCGAAGGCCCGGTCCCGGCATCATCCGCAGCCTCAGCAGTTTCAGCATGTGAATGCCCAGGCACCCCCTCCGTCTGCTTCCTGCTCTCCGCACCCTCCTCTTCCTTGTTATACTTCTTCGCAACCTTCCGATCCATAAGCTGATCGGTCGTAAGCCGATTCTCCGGCTCCGGCGGCTTCCACTTGCTGCTCTTCCACGGCGGCACACGCATCACATACATCATATCCATCTCCTCAAGCGTCTTGTCCTTGCCCTCAATGACAAAGAAGTAAACAATAATGACCGCGAAGAACAGGCACCCGGCAAACACATATCCATATGCAAAGTCAATATCGCCAGTGATAAACGGCGTGAAGAATCCAATCAGGAAATTCCACAGCCAGTTCGACGCAGTCGCCATCGCCATAGCCCGCGCTCGGTACCGCGATGGATACAGCTCTGCCACAATAGCCCACACCATCGGGCCCCACGTCATGGCAAACCCAGTGATGAACAGACAAGCAAATACAACCATCGCTTTACCCGCTCCAGGCGTGTTACGCGGTGTATTAACGTCAAGCGAGAAATGGCCCACGGACGCAAATACCATAAAGCAGACGAACATCCAGATCCCGCCTGCGATGAGGGACTTGCGTCGTCCGAAGTGCTCGATCACGTATAGGCCGCCAAATGTCGTGCCGAAGTTCACTCCACCCAGGATCATCTGCGTCACGTATGTGTTGTCGATTCCTGCTCCGTTGAAGATAACCGTTCCCTACATCATATTAGGCAGGCTCGACGTGTATTACATTATATCCTTGAAAGAAGAAACACTCACGTAGTAGAAGAAGTAGTTGGCACCGGTCAGCTGCTGCAGAGCTTGAAGCACAACGCCAAGTATGATGCGGTACGCCATGCGCGGCGCTTGGAACATCTCAAGCCAACCGCGGATTCCACCTCGCGCACCTTGCTCGGCATCCAGCTGTTCCTGGATCTCGGCAATCTCATGCACAATGACCCGATTGTTCTCGGGTACACCATACAGCTTCGACATGGTGCGTCGGGCGCGGTCCACACGGCCATGGCGGTAGTCGAATCGAGGACTCTCCGGGAAGAAGAGGATGCCGAGACCAAGGACAAGACCCCACAGGAATGTGATCCCGAGTGGGATTCTCCAAGAAGCAGTGTTGTCCATGCTTTCTGTGCCGAAGTTGATGCAGTATGCGACGAAGATGCCTAGTGTTACGAATAATTGGTAGGAGCTGGGATAGTGTTAGGGTTATGGTGGGTACATTGCAATATTGACTGTTGGGTTACTACTTACCACACCATCGCTCCTCGGATGTGTCGTGGTGAAATCTCACCCTGGTACATGGGCACCAACAGTGAGCAGGCTCCCACGCCGAATCCGGTTATGAATCGTCCCATCATGAACTGGTACCATTTTCCTGCTGGTGAGGAGATCTGGATGATCAGTCCGACATGGAGGATGATACACCAGAAGAAGATGGACCATTTTCGGCCAATCCGGTCGGTCAATGGTCCGGCAAGGAGAGCTCCTATCAAGGTACCGATGGAGAGCTAGAAAGCGTTAGCTTTTTCCACATTCATATACTTCTTTTTCAAAGGCATAAAACGGTATCCACTCACCATGGAAACAATCAATCCAGACCGGACATTGTTAAATTTATACGTCCCATCAGGCTTCAGCTGTGCAAACCGCTGCTTAAAGTTACGCATCTCCAAAAAGCCCGAGATCTGACCAGTATCATATCCGAAAATGATACCACCAATCGAGACAAAGGCGCCTAGCAATACAGACCTCCATGTCACCAATGGCACATGGGACTCGTCCAGGTTGCTGCCTCTTTTCTCGCGATCTGCTATCGCCGACTCTCCTGACAAGTCCGTCAATGGCGGGGACTTAGTCCCTGTCCCTTCACCGCTGAGCTTGTTGAGGAATGGGATTTTCATCCTGGAGATGGGAGATTGAAGGTGTATACAATATGTAGAATATACAGTTTCATGTGTTATTCCAGATTTGGGTTGGTTAGGGGAGAGGATTTGGCGTCAGGAGGTCCGGAAATAGGGCTGTGCCCAAGGCTGGCTTGCACGTTATAAAGATCTGGTTTAGGTCAGATGTCTTTGCATCGTCATTTTGCCACTTCCGGAACACTCCTCGGACCTAGTACGATGTAGATCGTCATGCATTGAATGCGTCACCCCGAAGCCAATTGAGGTATGTTATATGAGATATCACGATCATTGTTAAAATTGGGTATCTATATATGACAGATTTACCGTGTATTTTCCACCAGACGCTGCTTATTCTATCCTATATTTCATGCCAACCATAGACGCAATAAAATCAGAACGTATCCGGGGTATCTCGTCCGGGGAACCTGATGTGTCGTGGTGCCGACGAAATCGTGACGTCAACCACATTTTTTTCAGATCAGTGGACGTTATATCTTGCGTTCTTACGTGCAGTAAAAAGTAAAACGGAATGGGGGTAAATGAATATGAAATCAAAAATGTAAATTAGATGTCTATCGAGAAAATGATCCGTGTATAACACCTACATAGTCTCAGTAAGGAATACCGTTGGTCATCAGTTGGAACTGATCATAACCCTTAGTAGATACGCTCATGTACGACTTGCGCACAAGTTCTCGCATGTACTCGGCCGCATCGCGCTCGCTCTTGTCCAACACAAACCGGTCACGGAAATTCTTCAGAGTCTCGGGCTTGAAGCACGGAAGACCACTGTCAAGCATGA